AATTGCTCTCTAACTGGAGCTACAGGCATGATTTTAATGAAATTTTAATACCAAATGATAGATAACTCAAATGTATACAACTTTGCTGAAGGTCACTTTGGCAATTAAACACATTTTCAATGAGTTTAAACACAAAACATGTGGTTTAGAAAATCTGTCAAAAATTAACATGTGTTATGGACAGCACCTCAGTGTTTACCCTCTAGATCGAGCTACAGACTTTCAAATGACATGTTTCAAGTCTCAAATTAAGCCTAAAGCATGCCTCTACAACTTTTATTTAGAACACCGAAGCATAAAAGGTTATTTAGATAGTGTAAAATCAGTTAACATTCAATATCAGATTCTGCCAAAACACAAAACTCTATCTCATGCATGTCTATCTTCCTAAGAACACAACTCGAGCTACAGAGCACATATTAACATGAAATTTATCTCATTTAAAATATAAGAAACAGACCTATAACTTCCATGAAGAGCATAAATTCATACGAGCACGTTATGACATGATAAACAGGTCATACATTAATTACACACATGCTGCCGGGTAACAGGAAAACTGGACGCGCAATATTCTCGTAAAAATCATAACTTATTTGATATAACTCGGAATCGAGAAATTCCAAAGCCCAAGTATAGAAAACCGAACATACTACATTTCATAAGAAGATAGCAACTTCCAATAACCAGCCTCTGATGGCTTAAACTGAGGCACAACAGAAACAGCAAACATGCGAATGAACAAGAAATAACAATGAACATATATACGAAAGTTCTAAGCTCGACCACGATTAATATGACTTCCCAAAAATAAATAAACGAGCACGACATGTTCATCCCAGCAACTACATGATACTCGATTTATAAAAAAGACGAGAGTTATCAATCTCCTCGAAGAATATGCGAGACAAACCAATGAGTAAGAACGAATGATAACGAACAAATTATAACAGGAAAAATCAGCCATTAACCCGATTCCCACGAATCTACACGCACAAGTGGTCGGATCATCGACATGCAACCGACACTTAGACTCCACTCCCAGTTCCCATTGACCGGGTTCTACACGCGTCTAATAGTTCTAGCCACAATAGGTACAGACTTCCGAATAATCCACACATCCGAGACTTATTCGTTTGTCTGTTCCCTTTACTTAAGCCTTCTCTTTCGAGATAGCTTACGAATGATTCTCACTCGATGGTACTAAACAGAAACTCATAACGAGTGCACTGCTATAGACCAAACTTATCTCGATAACACTCAACCAAAAACTCACAACAAAAAAAAAAATCTCTTAAGTCGGCAATTTAACTCTGCACCACTAGAGTTCAAGTCCGAATAAACGGAGGGTAAATTCCTAAGCCCCAATAAAAGAACAAACCATAATCATGTCATTCACAATAATCAAAACAAATAAAACTCATACCTTGAGCTGGTGCGGCGAGACGAAGTGAGTGGTCAATGGTCATTAAACACTTATTCACAAATGAACCAGTCTACAGAAAAGTAAGACTGGCTCTGATACCAAACTGTAACGCCCCGTTTTATTTTATAGAATTTAGCGAAATTTATTTAATAAAAAATCAGAGTTTTTTTTTTAAATCCAAGTAAAAACATTTATCGAGAAACGGGCGCTACTTACTAACATCATCAAAACACACATGCACGAACTATCAATAAAACAAGTTCCAAATAAACGTAAGTCTTAAAACCATTTCAAAAGATCCAACATTATTCAAAGCTCAACCAAATCAATCATAGTTCGAAAAGTGAAAGCAGTAAATAATCCAAGGCAATAATAGCAAACAAATAAAAATTCGAGTTTAAGCGGAAGCATAGATTTATCAACACATTTGACCACTATCTCGCTCGCCCTACGCCACCGCCTCCAGCTCGTCTCAACCTAGAACAAAGGAGAGAGAAAACAACAAGAAAATAATGGGGGTGAGCAACCAACTAGCTCACCTTTATCGCACGGTTATCTCGTATAATTATTTAGAAAGCATTTTCAGTTCAAAACAGTATCAATATTGGTATGCACAGAATTCAAAGCCTAAACCCCCTACCCAGCCCTATCGCAAACCTCCTATGTACATACAACAACCTTCCGGATACGACGGCATGGCTGTAACTGGAAACCTTCCCACCCCCGGATACGACGGTACATGGGATCCTTTCCAGGAGACAGTGAAGTTGAATTACCCCTCCGCTCTACACGGATTCGAGTAAATCAGACAATCCCCTCCGCTCTCCACGGATTCGGGCGTCCACCTCCCGGATACAACGGGCAGGCGACTTCCACTGCTTTCGCATTCATCAAGGCACTAGCGTTCGGGACACTTAGACTAGAGTTCTCATGCATACAAAACTTTTCAAAGAAATATTACACGAAATAAGGAAGTGCGATAATTATGGAATACATCATAAATGTACCCACCTGATAGCAGCACGGTTCACAGTCACAAATCTCGAAATAAGGCAAGGTCAACACCTCTAGACACCTACATGATGTCAAGATCCTACAATCAGAATCTATCTCGACTTAAACCGGAAATCACAAGATAGACCTAGTCGAACACGTTTCGACTAAGTAGTTCGTGAAGTCCTGTGGATGTTGGAACACTAAGACTCGACACTAAACTCAACCAAAACACGCAAGGGAGTTCACACAAATCCATCCAAGGATTGACCAAGTCAAACTCACATCAATACAAAACTCAAGTCGACTCCAAATTTTCATATAACAATTATGCTCGAAAATAGAAATCATTTAATCGCTTGAAAATAGAAGGTCAAGCTACCCTACGAATTAAGCTCTGAAAACTTACAAAAAATTTTATCTCCCAGAAACATGAAATATCACAAAGTTTCAGCTTTAAACTCAAGATACCCCATTTTATAAAATTCGAACAACATATCAGCAAAATGGGCACGTTAATTCATACTCAGACTTAGTGAATGAATCTGATCTTGAAAATTTTACACAGGAACATAAAGTATGCCAAAGTCCATTTGTAAAAATCTCAGCCTTAAATGATAACTGCTGCTATTTTTAAAAATCCAAACGAGCAACAACAGTTTATCAAATTTAAACCCAAACTGAATCAAAACGGACTCCAAAAATTCCCATATTTTACAAACATGATTAAACACACAAATTAGGCCTCTCAGTAAAATTTCAGAATTTTTCATGCAGTAACCAATTTATAAAAATTCAAACAACGTTTCTGCAGATACGATAAATAAAATATTTACCACATCAAATCAACTCCAAAAATTCTAAACATTTAACACAACACATATAAGTCACAGAGGCATGACATATTCGAATTGCAGCTCATTTCAGTCAGGCATGAATTTTTTATGCATTTAACAATATTCTGGATAGATTACAATTTAATTATTAAAAATAGCTACAGGCCTCCAAAAATTTCGAAAATTTTACATAAGGTAGGCAATGAACAGATAACACATCCCTCAAAATTTCACATCGTTTCGAGCAGCGAGCTATTTTTTAAAAATTCGAACACCGAAACAGCGATTAAAACGCTCGACAACTTTAGCAATTAATCACAACATGAAATTTATCTTCCGAGGCCTTTACATAAGACCATGGACTCGACATTGTTCCATATTTCAGCTCATTACACGACTTTCGAGGTCTCGTTCAATTTTTGAGAAAATCGAAGAGATCTCGAACATACGAACACATACAATCACAACAATTCATATATTTGCACATATTCACTTAATAAATCTCATCATATATAACACGAGCACTTTACGAACATGAACAATTCAACGAAACATATATGAATTAAACGAGACGGAAAAACGACGAGGTACCGTTCTCCGAGAACTCGAAAACGTCACGAACACAAAAGCTCGACGGTAAACTCGTCTCGTGAAAAAGAAGACTCGACGTGCACGAAGGAGGGAGTGCGTCGCTGCTGCCGGGTCTCCGCTGGTGTTCGCTGCTCGGACGGAGAGGGAGGCACTGATGTGCTGCTCGATCAGAAAAGAGGCTCACGACGCGGTGGGAGAGGTTGGGATGGCGTCGCGGCGCGGTGGTTTCAACGTCAGAAGCTCGAGGGCTTGCTCGAACTCGCCGGAAAGACGCGCCCAGAGGTCGCCCGGAAGTTCAGGGTCGCCGGAAAAATGCGACAGAGGGCTCGAGGAGGTGCAACAGACGGTCGCCGGAAGTCGGGGCTACTCGAGAAGGTGAGGAGTTCGCCGGGAAAAACCTCACGAGATGCTGGTTCGCGGCGGCGCTGGATGAGAAGGCACAGCGTGACGGTTGATTGCAGAGGTGGTCTCGCCGGGATGTTGGTCGCGATCTGGAAACCAAGCGCGAGGGAGGAGAAGATTGATGGCGACAGACGATCGGATTAGTGAGAGAGAAGGGATGATTTTGTGGCGAGAGAGGAATTGACGAGAGAGCGAGAGAGATTGAGGGGCGGCTCTGAGTTTTGAACGAGAGGAAGAAGGTTGCGGGTTCAAGATATACAGAGTGGGAGAGAATCTCTAGATACATAAATACATATAGAACTAGGTTTTAAAAATCTTTGACACCAAGTCACACACACACACGCACGGAAGGAAGGAAAATAAAACCCGGTCTTGGGCGGGTTTAGCTCGCGGGCCGGTTCGGTTGGGCCAGCTCATACGGGTTTTTGCCAAAATGATTCGGCCCTCGGGCCCGTTTAATCGCACGATTAAATAAATAAACTCCGGACAATATAAATTAAATACGTACATTATTTTTAAAATACTAATATAAATCAAAATATACAATTAACAATTAATTGGCAATTAGACATTTAACATTTAGACATTCAAATTTACAAGCAATAATTAATAATAACACAATAATAATAATAATAAACACAATAATAATAATAATAATAATAATAATAATAATAATAATAATAATAATAATAATAATAATAATAATATACAATCATAAATAATTCTCAAATAAACCACAATTAAATGGGGCATTACACACAGCCATCACACCTGGCAATAACAACTCCTTTCTCGTACGAATCACGACAAGCTGTCTTGAGAGATCGTGCCTCACAGACTTTGCATGCGAAAAGCATGGCAAGATCATGTCTTTCGGATACCTTCAGGTTGGAATTCACGTTGAACTTTACTTGGGTAGTCTGGTTGTTTTTTTCCGAACCCAAACTGGTGTTCAGGCTGGGAATTTCGGGTTTGGTCTGATTTTCAATGGGTTGAGTGTTGGCTTCGGAGCCGATGCTAAAGTCTCTGGTGCACAGTTGATAGCTACAGGCGAATGAGCTTGGAGAAGGATAGAAGTTTCGGGAGAGTTCTCTAGAGAGAGGGTTTTGCGAAATCTTTGCAGCCAGAAGAGACGGTTAGTTCTTTGTAGTTGCTAGGTTAGTTCTATCTTGTTGCTAAGTTAGTTCTAAGTAGTTGCTAGGTTAGTTGTCTCTTGTTGCTAGCTTAGTTCTCTGTAGTTATTAGGTTAGTAGTAGCTAGGTTAGTTGTCTGAGGTTACTAGGTTAGTTCTTTGTAGTTGCTAGGTTAGTTGTCTGTAGTTGCTAAGAGTTGGTCCCACTTTAAGAGCTGGGCGCATTTTAAGAGCTGGTCCCATTTGATCCGCCCCCTATATATAGAACAAAATATCTAAAACGACATTTATTTTATCAATGATCAATTAAGTCAAAGTGACAAATAATAAAAATTGGAGGGAGTATATATTATTATATATTTTAGTATGACACGTGTTAGTTGTGCGATTTATATGTGTTATATTATAATAAATTTTCTACCTTATAACATATAACTACATTCAACATAAATATAGCAATTGATAAATGATTTTATTTTCTAATTAATTTTAATAAATAATTTTATTATTATTATAAAGATATGTAAAATTTATTTATTTTTTATATACAATATGGATGTCAAATCGAAACTCATCAAAAGATGATTAATTTGATATATTATATATATAAAATCGATAAGAAATACAACAATTATCAACTTTTAAAAAATATTTGCAATTCAATGGTTATAATTGGAATTGATATTAAAATAAAATTAATACAAATATTAATTTATATCCAAGTCTAACTCCAAAGCATGTTTTTTTGCCAAATAGGATTCCGAAGCATGAGAGTTTGTCATGTAGGTTCAGCGCATTCTGAAATTATATATAGAGGAGGTGCTCATTTATGCTAATTATGTCATTTAAAATAATATTCCATTTAACTTCTATATTTAGTAAACAAGTGAACATACATTTGTACATAAAATAAGGATAAATTCAGTTTATTATTATTAAACAAGGAAAATCAATAATTTGTATTGTAGTTAATTTCGAGTAAACTTGGCTATTTTCCAATTTCTGGTTGGTTTCGGGTTGGATCAGCTGATTCTGGTTCACGTTTTTTATGAACCTCAACCGGCGGTTCACGGTTTAAAACCGGCTCGCAACTTTGGTTTGAACTGAAAAATTAAAATAATAATATTAATAAATTTGGAAAAAAAATAAAAACTCAATTTCAAATTAAACTTTTGGCGACGAAACAACTGTTGCGGTTGGAAACCAGAACAGGAGGTTGAATTTTTAAAAATGGTTGAACCTGTACCGATCTGATAAAACCATGGGACGACTGAAGGTCCGTACTCATCGGGCTTGACCCGACCGGTTCATCCGTGACCACCTCTAATTTCAAGTTTTTAAACATGTGAATATTAATTTATTTTATTTAATTTTTAAAGCATAAGTTGAGCGATAATCGTGTACTCTTTAAATACTAATATTTGTAAAGTTAAATCAAAAAAATTAAAATTTCATTGAAATTATGTACGCTGAACATAATAATAATAAATAAATAAATAAGTTATTATTTTATGGTAGAAAATAAATTAAAATATTATTTATGGTGTTAACTTAATTTTTATTTTAGAAAATAACTTATAATGTCATTTGATATTTGTTTTTGTTGGTGTGTATACTGAAAGCTCGGCTTTTTGAATGGATCGGTAAACAAACTAGACCTTGGTTAATTACTGCGTACTTTTAATCCGTAAAATACAAACATGCATGTGCATAGTGGCTATACTTTGATTCACCAAAAAGTGAGATTCATTCAACTAGGTCAATAGTCTGACGTGTTTTGGGTAGTAGTCGTGTGTATAGTGTGTTGTTTGAATATTTACGGTTAGCGTGTGCGATAGTCTGATGATGTTCTCGAGGTGAGCTCCAGAAGGATTTTTATGTTAAACATGGGCAGTGAAATTTATTGCAACATAATAATAATAATGATTTGAGTTTTACTAGTCTCGGTTCAAAAAGTCAATTAATTATATTATCAGTGATTAATTATATATATATATTTCCAGGAAAGTTAGTCGGGAAAGTTAGTCTGATGATGTTCTCGAGGTGAGTTCTTTGTTTATGGTGTGTAGGTCGGAAGCCTCGCGAGGACCGGATTTCAGGTGAAAGTTAGTCGGACAAGCTTAATTAAATAGAGGAGTTCTTTGGGAACACACAGGAAAAAGTGGAATCGAATTCCAAGTTGAAACGAACCCAAACGGACCCGAGAAGCAAAGTCCAGCAGGCTGCCAGAGCCTTAGCGCCGCTAAGGCACACAAGATAGCGGCGCTACACCGTACTGGCTTGAACGGCTAAGATACCTTAGCGGCGCTAAGGCACCTTAGCGCCGCTAAGGTCTGTTTTAAGCAGACGCGGTTTTTATTGGATTTTGTATTGGAGGAGCTTTTAATATCGAACCGAGGGCTTATTTTCATCATCTCAGACTTTGTAATTTCGTTTTTTCACTTCTCAAACTCAATTTTCACCTAGTTTTCATAGGATTTGATCTTGGATTGTGAAAACACCAAGATTAAGCTTTTGGATTTGGATTGCTCGTTGTTCCTTTCAACATTGGATTCGTATTTATTCGTAAGCTTCTTTTCATTTCATTGATGAATGTTATGGCTTTGCTTCATATGTATGTTGATGTTGAATTGATGATGAGTAGCTAAATTCGTCAACTAGGGTTAGGGGATAATTGTTCCGGTTCAATTTCGTTTGTATGAATGTTGATTACCCAATCTATTTGAGTTGTGCTAATCTTAGGGTTGAATGACTGATCACCATTTTAATCCACCAAATCAATTCTTAGAACCAAAAGGGGAGGAATTGATCGACTTAGGCTCGTTTAGAGTAGACTTGTTCGGAGACGTATTGTCTATGCGCTAATTGATTCGATGATTGTTCGTTTATGTTTATTCTCTTGTTTCGTGAGTTATTGAGAATGAATCTCTTGATGAATTGGTTTTTCGAGCCCTTTAGCCGAGTAGTCGATTGCCCGTTAAATGTATTGAGAACCGAAAACGGTTGTCCCCGACGCCCTAGTCTTTTTTACAATTATTTGAATCTTGTTTGAAGCTGTGAGTTCGAAATTGTCTTGTTTGAGAATCATTCATAGTTAATATCGTAATTGATAATCAAAACCACCCAATTGAATTAGAGTGTTTAGGACTTGTTTTCTCTTTTCGTGTTATTGAATATCGTACAAATAATCTGACTGACCTTCCTTGAGACACGACCCGGTGTTCGAACCTTTTGATTCTACTCCAGTAAAAATTACTACAACAAAATGGCGCCGTTTCCGGGGAAGGTTTAGGAATTATCTTGTGCGCTTATTCTCTTTGTTTCTATGTTTCTTTTGTTTCTTTTTCTTTGTTTAGGTGTTAGTTCTTTCTTTGTTTCTGTTTTTATTTTATTTTCTTTCATCTATCATTGGTGCTCGTAACCCGTTGTTTGTTTGAGTGTATGCGTACCAGGAGTGGACGTAAACTATCTCCTATCAACAAACCCTTCAACGAGAGCCTGAGAGTGCTGCTAGACGAGCTCACTCTCGAATCACACGAAGAAGACGAGCATTCACCAGAATCATCCGAGGGGAGTAACTCAGACATGGCTGAACAACAACCGCCTCGCAACATCCTCAGAGACTTGGCCCAACCCATGATCGGGCCAATCACTTCATGCATCTGGTTGCCACAAGAAGCTCGGAACTACGAGCTTAAGATGATCCATTACAATCAGCTACCGTCTTTCCATGGTCTTCCAAATGATGATCCACTCCACTTTCTCCGGGAGTTTTACAATGTCCTCTAGTCGTTCCCGCTACACGGACTGACCGAGGACCAGCTAAAGATGCGGTGCTTCCCGGAGACTCTGAAGGACCGGGCCAAGGCCTGGCTCATGACCCTCGCACTGGATTCTCTCACAACTTGGGCCGAGGTCTACTCGAAATTTGTTAGGAAGTATTATTCCCATCAGAAGACCCAAGACATCCGGTCCCAGATAGTCTCTTTTGCTCAACTGCCAAACGAGCCTCTTCATGAGGCCTGGGAACGATTCATGGACCTTCAATGGCAGTGCCCACATCATAACCTTGCTCCAGGGCTATTAGCGAATTGTTTCTACGACTCCCTCTACCAGAACCTGCAATTTATGGTGGATAACGCAGCCGGAGGGGATATCGGGGCCAAAACAGCTGAAGAGATCATTGTGATCTACGAGACAATGAGTGCAAACTCGTATCAAAAGAGCATCAGCGAAAAGAGGGCGACGGTGCATGAGATTGGAACGAGCAACAATGCCATGGCCAAGCAGCTAGCAGAGCTCACGGAGCAAATGAGGGTACTGAATGCTAGAAGTTCCTCACCAATTCAGATGATGGCAGTAAATGCTTGTGGAGCATGCGGAGTTCAGGGACACAGTTCTGAGGTGTGCTCTATGGCTCTCGAGCCAAATTATGGAGGGCAAGGAGCTGAGGTAAATATTGTGCAAGGATATCAGAACCGGCCCGGAAATGACGCGTACTCGAACACGTACAACCCCGGGTGGAGAAACCACCCAAGCTTCTCCTGGTCTAACAACAACTCCCAGCAGCCGCCTCAACCTAACTTTGTCCCCCATTAGCAGCAACCCAGGGGAATCTTAAGGCTGCCAGCACCAGCCCAAGGAGCCGAACAGAGTCCGCCGAACTCAGATGAGAAGCTAGATAAGATCCTCCAGTTTTTGGAAAACAACGAGAAACGGACCATGAACAATGAAGCCTCCATTAAGTGCCTCGAGATGCAAGTGGGCAATTGGCTAAACGTGTTGGAGGTATCGAGACCGCACTAAGTAAGAAAATATTGCCATGTCAGCTGGAGCATGTGAATGCAGTTACAGTGCTGATGCCCGAGCCAGAGGAGAAGGCAGATGGACAAGTGGAGAAAAAAGGGGAATGAGGGTCCAAAGAAGCAAGAGCTGAAAGAAGAGGCTCCAGTGACACCACCACCCGAGCCTACCCAACATAGATCTCCAACCCCCTACAGACCGAAAATTCCCTTCCCAAGCCGACTGTTTGAGGAGAAGGATCGCACTATGATTCGGGACCTTCATGCGATGTTGGCCAAGGCCAACGTCGACTCATCTCCTCCCGATGTGTTGAAGAAAGTTTCAGCTTATGCATGATTCTTCAAGGAAGTGGCCATGGACAAGAAGAGGTTTGAGAGTGGTGAGGAGGTGATTATCTGTGAAGCGGCGAGTATCTTCCAGCATGACTTGCCGAAGAAAGA